AGCAAAACGAAGAACTCACTACACTAGGTGCTTGAAAAATAAAATCCTAAGTCTAGGAAAAGAAAAGTGCGAGACGAAAGATAGGTTTGTTTGTCTGATCTTCTGTCCCTGATGTCTTCATGGAGCAAGGTTTATATAGGGCACTCGTCAGCCCATGGGCTAGCCATTGAATGGCCAAATGTCAACTCTTCTTTAAAATCTTTTCTTTCGAAGCCCTCCTAAATCCGTGAGATTGCGTTGATATTCTGACAGGCTTGATTCTTCCTTGTTTTGGAACACTCGGAGTTACTATAAAAACTCCCTTGATTTCTTTCCTTGTGAGGCCCTCCGTCACGTGCACATTATCCTCCGAAAATCAATATATGCATATATGGGAGAATGAATCAAGACAGCTTGGTTGAAATGCCTGGCCCATGCGGATGGGCTCATAAAGTGAAGCCATCCATTGTGATATACAATATTAATATATATATATTAGGTCAATAAGTTGGCAGCCGCATTCATCCCTTTTATGCCCAGCCGCATATTCATCCGGCCGCACTAAATTGTGTCCAGCTGCCTATTCATCACACCCGGCCGCATATTCATCACACCCGGCCGCAGTCTTCCAATTCTGCCCGGCCGCAGTCTTCCGGCCGCTATTTCCAACTCCATTCGAGCTGTGAGGCCGCATCTTGTATGCCCAACTTTTTCGGGTCATGCCCAGCAAAAAAACCTTGGCCGCAACCTCAGTTTCCAGCCCCTTTTCGAACAAAACCCAGCTGCGATTTTAGAGAGCTGTTCAGCCCGACCGTATTCTCCTCGTGCCAATCCAATATCCCGTGCCCGGATTAGGTGGGTTTCCACCACCCCCAAACACTTGGGGAAAGATGAATGATCATTATCAAAGTGCTATAAAATAATCACCACCATTGTAGTTTACTTTGACTTTTGTGCAATTGTTGGGTTCATCGAAAGAGCAATTTGAAATTAGCACACAAATAATAATATTTTTTTAAAAAGCTACGTACATGGATGACAAGCTATTTGAATTCAACCCCTTTATAGTTAAATCGAAATTGTAAAGCTTGCAGACCAAGAAATTGGACCACTCGTAATTTTCAAATATATTTTCTTTTTACATTTGCTAAACACCTGCTTATATATAAAATGATTTAGTGTGCCAAATTACACAACCTCTAACACACATTGTTCTCTCTCAGTCTCAGACATGGCTGAGGTGATCAAGCTACATGGAGCATGGCCTAGTCCATTTAGTTGCAGGGTGATATGGGCTTTGAAGCTGAAAGGCATCCCATATGATTACATAGAAGAAGATCTTCTAAACAAAAGTCCTGAGCTCCTAAAATACAACCCAGTTCACAAGAAAATCCCGGTGCTTGTTCATGGAGAAAGGCCAATCTGTGAGTCCATGATCATCGTCGAATACATAGAAGAAACATGGCCAGAAAAACCCTTGCTGCCCGCTGACCCTTATGACAGAGCCATAGCTCGGTTCTGGGTTAAATTTGCAGACGATAAGGTACATTCAACAACTCTATATATACAGCATGAACAGTAATTCAGCCATATGTTCTATGTACGCGTCAATATAGTTTAAATTGACAATCTATGGAAAACACTATATGCAAGACCATCTTGAACAGAAAAAGTTCATTTCTTTTAATCATAGATATTTAAATGCCTCTAATTCTGGACAGGGTTCTGTAATTTGGATGGTCATCAGAACCACCGGCGAAGAGCAAGAGAAGTTCAAGAAAGAGAGCTTAGAGATGCTGAAAACCATCGAGAAGCACGCGGGTTCTCTGGGAAAGAAGAAGTTTTTTGGAGGAGACAACATTGGAATAGCGGACATAGCCTTCGGAGTGATTGCTTATTGGTTTGGAGTCATGGAAGACGTGGTTGGTGTGAAGTTGTTTGAAGCCCAAGTATTTCCCCGCTTGCATGCATGGACTGAGAACTTCAAACAAGTGCCTGCAATCAAAGAAAGCCTTCCTGATCGTGATAAATTAGTGGTTGTTTATAAGCAGATGAGGGAAAACTTGTTGGCATCTGCGTGACACTTGCATGGAGTTCTGTCTGTGCTTCAACTTGTTAGGTTGCTTCTTGGTATTTTAGTAATAATCGTGAGATGCAGTGGTTTATAAAGATAGGAGGATTTGTTTGTATTACTAGTTTATGTTATCTTCAAATTAGTGATTTCAAATTGCCTTTTAAGCACCTTCAAGCTTTATCAAACACCTTGAATCTTAATTAATTATTATTTCTGACATGTTAAACCCATGAACTAATTCACAGTATACAAAGCCCAAAGAAGTCGGTAACTGGGAGAAAAACCCTAACCCCCTCTCTCCCAAAGAAACACTCTAGTGCCATTTTTACTTTGAGTTTCAAAAAAACACTCTAAACCCTAACCTCCTTTAATAAAATAAAAAAATAATAATAAAAAAGAGGCACCTAGACTTGACTCTCAATTATGAAATAAATGAATTGAATTTGCTAGCAATAAATACGACTATTGTATGTTTGCTTTTTAAAGAAAAGGTGAGACGTGTATAGAACACGAATATATTGTTGAAAAATATGTACCTATATCATAAAAATGAATTATCATAAAAACACGAATGTATAATACGAATATATCATAAAAATTTCACTTCATTTCTTCTATGTTTTATGAAAATATAGTACTTTTTAACTTTTGGCAACAATCCATTTTGAATAATTTTAGACGATGAAATCCTGCCAAGAACCTGGAAATGACTACTGAGCATTGTTTAAAATTGATAAAATAACACTTACGTAAGAAACCAATTTAAAAGCCAAGCCCCAATATGATGCATATTGCGTAAGTGCAGAAATCAACAATCAGAGAAAGCAATAAAACCATGTACTACCAATATCTTCATCATTCCGTAGGACAAAAGCTAAGACTGAGTTTCAGAGAACCAACAGGAAACCTAGTAAACTATACAAAATTAAAAAAATTATTGCATGACCACCCTGGCAACAGCCAAACTAAAGTCAAGGGAGGAACATAAATTCAAGCCTTAACTCACGATTAGAAAGAAAATTCACTAACACCGCAATAAAAGAGAGAAATTATTCAACAATTACAAGGGATGAATTTCAGGAACAGCAGGAAACATAGAAGACCTGGGTCATCAAGAAATCAATCATCTTCATTCACACAAAGCACTAAGAAATTGACTTTTTAAACACACCCAAAGCCCATTTACAACATAACAAAAAAAAAATTAAGTTCTTTTAAATTACAAAACTACCATTGATTTCTTAAAACAAACCCAATCCCAAAACTTCATAAAAAAAACCCAAAACACTCAATAGGGCACCAAAGTAATTTAATGTTCAAAATTAAAAAATTCAATAAGGCCAACTGTCATATTTTGGGTCTTTTTATTTGTTTATTTATAGAAATTAAATGGTGTAGTTCATAATTTTAGTACTAAGAATGGGTATATGACTAAATATCTCTTTTAAAATAGCGTTGGATAAGGCTTTTGTTGCCTTCCTCATTTTTTTTTTCATTATTTGCCTATCAACAACAGTTGAACACACATCTATGCTGACAACCACTGTGTTTTTTTTTCTTGGTCCACCTCAAAACTACTATTTTTAAAATAGCGCTGCAGCACCTACACATGGACCTGTCAATGGATCATATTTCAATCCGAATTCGGTGTAATTAATAAAGGATGGATTGGACTTTTCAATCCAATAATCTTATCCATTGACAGGTCTACTTACACTTGTCTCACAGACATTTGACTTGGGTGTTAAAAGACCTTTTGGGAGTTGGATTTGGATCCTTATATCTACTAATCACTGAAAGCAACCTATCCAAAACAAAATCAGGTCAGTTTTTATAATAAGATTTGAGAGTCATTGTACTTCAGCTTATAGAGATTATTAAATTTCAACACCATGAGGCAGGGATGATCTTCTTCGGTTCTTTCTTTATTGCCTTAGTTCAAAAGTCATACAATACCGACAGAGACTTTATTAAGACAAGGAAAATGACGAAAAATAGCTAAATCAACCTTGATTTAGTTAAAAATATATATAATGCAAGGCAATGACCGCCACTAAATTTACATTTTAGACTTCTCTGCAACATTTTGCTTTATATATCCAAGTAGAAATTTGAAAAATAACACTATTGGAATTCAACCCATTTATAGTTTGTTTAATCCAATTTGTAAAGCGTACTGCCCAAGCCATTGAACCTACTTGTAATTTTTTTTTAATGCTTTTTACATTTTATTTATTTTTTTGCTAAAACAGATCCATATATAAAATGTGCTTTGGGCTTTCAAAGAAGTTGAATCATTCTCTCTTCTCAGACATGGCTGATGAGGTGAAGCTCCATGGAGTATGGAACAGTCCATTTAGTTGCAGGGTGATATGGGCTTTGAAGCTGAAAGGCATCCCATATGATTACATAGAAGAAGATCTTCAAAACAAAAGTCCTGAGCTCCTAAAATACAACCCAGTTCACAAGAAAATCCCAGTGCTCGTTCATGGAGAAAGGCCAATCTGTGAGTCCATGATCATCGTCGAATACATAGAAGAAACATGGCCACAGAAGTACCCCTTGCTGCCCACTGATCCTTATGAGAGAGCCATGGCTCGGTTCTGGGTTAAATATTTCGAAGAAAAGGTACAAATATATATTCACATTGAATAACTATAACCCACTATTCTGTTTTGATTTCTAGACCCTCAAATTAAACCAAAAATGCATCTTTTTGGCCAAGTGAAAGATCTGGTTTGTATAAGGACGTGGATTATGGGTAATTTCATTTACATGTTCTAGACGTGATTCCACATCATTTTTTGTGGGGCCAATAATGTAGATTTTTCCATATTTTTTGTGGGTAATTTCATTTACAATAGAGTAAAGTTTTTATGAAATGCTGGAGTTACTTGGAGCTGAAGCGTGGCTCCGTGCCTGCACACAATCAGTTCATAATAAACATTAGGATTAATTTGTCGATCACATATATAATAATAATAACAGTCTCAATTAATTCTGGCAGAGTGTTGCAATTTGGATGGTCTTCAGAACCACCGGCGAAGAGCAAGAGAAGTTCAAGAAAGAGAGCTTGGAGATGCTGAGAACCATCGAAGAGCACGCGGGCAATCTGGGAAAGAAGAAATTTTTCGGAGGAGACGAGATTGGAATAGTGGACATAGCCTTTGGGTGGATTGCTCAGTGGTTTGAAGTTGTTGAAGACGTGGTTGGGGTGAAGCTATTTGAAGCCCATGCATTTCCTTGCTTGCACGCATGGACTCAAAACTTCAAACAAGTGCCTGTGATCAAAGAAAATCTTCCTGATCGTGATAAAATGTTGGTCCTCTTTAAGAGTCTCAGGGAATATTTGTTGGCGTCTCAGTGAGACTTGCAAAAGATTTCTGAGTGCTTCAACTTGTTTTGGTTCCTTTCCCTGTGGTTTATCCAAGGTTTATATTATCTTAAAATCGGGGACAAGAAAGGGCCGGGATCCTTGTTTAGTTTCCTACCTTTCTGGGTTTCTATATTATGAATAAAAACATCTACTGTTGTCAAGAGCAGCAACAGACGATGTACCGTCCTCTTTAGTGGAATAATAGTTGTCAGTGGCATAGACAACGGTAAATTTTGAATTAGACAACGGCCAAAATCCGTCATTTATGACCTTCTTTTACTTGTTTAGAACAAAAATACTTGTCCAACATTGTAGTCTTTACTGAATTGATACATAGGTTCTAGGAATATCTAGTCTTTATTTAACTTTCCACTGCCTTGTCGCCTATCGATTGCTTACTTTTGGTTGATTGTTACTCTGGAGCATCTAAACATGTACGAGCACTTACACCCACATGTTCTCACACAGATATTTGACTTAATTAGGTGTTAAACACCCTTTGGGGATTGGATTTGGATCCTTATCTATCTACTAATCCAATCTCCTCCTAATCACTGAAAGCAACCTATCCATAACTAAATCTTATAGGTCAGTTTTGCTATAATAAGATTTGAGTCATTGTACTTCAGCTAATAAAAATTAAATTTCTATATCCATAAGGCCACTATGTTCAAACTCAAAAGTCATACACTAATGACAGAGACTTTAAGAAAAGGAAAATGGTTAAAATTAGTTAGATAAACCTTCATGATTTCAAAATAGCTAATTGAATTCAACCCCTTTATATATATATATATATATTTTTTTTTTTGGTCAAACAAATCCTTCATAGTTTGTTTAATCCAATTTGTAAAGCGTACTGCCCAAGCCATTGAACCTACTTGTCATTTTTTTTATGCTCTTTATATTTTTCTTTTGCTAAAACATATACAAATTTAGTTATATACCCAATCTTAGACATAGTCTTATAAAGAAATCTTATACCATTTAAAAACTATAAACACACCCAAAAAAAACCCAAAAATCGACAACTGTCAATTTTTTAAAATTTAATAGCTATTTTTTTGTTTATTTGTGTGTGTAAAATACCTATATTGCCCTTGTAATATGGATTTGAGAGAGAAAAATCAAATATGCCCAGATCTGCCAAAGAAAACAAATCTGTCAAAAAACCAAATCAGATTTATTTTATCCTTTCTCGATGTTGGAGTAAGAGGAGCTTCCATTGAAGCTCAATCTCAGATCCAACTATATTCTTCATCTCTCATCTACAATTTTCAATATTTCACCTTCGATTTCTTGTTCTAAAATGGTGCTTCTATTGATATTTTTTTTTTCTGATTGTTTGGAACCTTGAACGAACCTCGATCAGATGCTCTTAGCTATACTCCTCATTTTCAAGCTCTACTCCTCTTTCACCATGTCGTTGTCGTTATCATCGTCATCTTTATTGTCGTCGTCATCGTTTGGTTTAGACTTTAAATTTTTGATCTTTTACTTCAATTATGTGTTTCTCTTCAGATTTTAGTTGATTTTCGAAATGTATTTTAAACTTTGATGATCGATTTATCCTTTGTTACTATTTCAGTTATGGATCTCATTTTTGTTTAACAATGTACTTCTATGATAGAATATTAACAATGTAGTTTTATGACATAATAGTATTAACAATCTGGGCTTGGCTTGTTTTGAGTTGGTTTGGTTTGTTCTTTCTTCTTTTCTTTGGTGGGCATGTATTAGAAATAGCAATAAGACAAACATTAATCAATAAACTAGCAGTGTTATAACCTTAGATTAGAACATTACAGGGGGTGGATATGCATTAGAAATAGGATGTCATTGGAAACTAGTAGTGTTATTACCCTAGAAATAGGATGTTATAGGAAATTAGTAGTGTTATTACCCTAGACTGGAATATTACACGGGGTAGACATACATTAGAAATAGGATGTCATACGAAACTAGTAGTGTTATTACCCTAGGCTGGAACATTACAGTCATTAATCAATATGACAGTAAACTAGCAGTGTTATTACCCTAGACTGGAACATTATAACTATTAATCAACATGACAGTAAACTAGCAATGTTATTATCCTAGACTGGAATATTACAAAATAGCAGTATTATTACCCTATACTGGAACATTACATAGGTAGACATGCATTAGAAATAGGATGTCATAGGAAACTATCAGTGTTATTACCTTAAACTGGAACATTACATGGGTAAACATGAATTAAAAATAAGATATCATTGGAAACTAGTATTGTTATTACCTTAGACTGGAACATTACATGGGTAGACATACATTTGAAATAAGATGCCATAGGAAACTAGCAGTGTCATTACCATATACTGGAACATTACAACCATTAATCAACATGACAATAAATGCGTGGAACATTACAATCATTCATCAACATGACAGAATAACGAAGCTATAGTTTTCAAGACATTTTGTTTGTAATGAATTGTTTGGGGTTTTTTTTATTATATTTTTTTATTTTATAAAATTGGGTTGGGCTTGTTTTGGGTGCTATTTAAGTTTTTTGTGTTGGGCTTCTTTTAAGTTGATCAATGACAGTCACGTAATTTTTAGAAACTACAACACCAATTTTTTATGTAGTAAATGAGTTTTGGGTGTGTTTCTAAAGTGCATTCCATGTAGGGTTTTTTTTTATAATTTCAACCCCTATTTTGAGTATATTAGTGAAGCTCACTAAAACATATCCATATCTAAAATGCTTTGGTGAGTCAAAGAAGTTAGATCACACACGTTGTTTTCTCTCTCAAACATGGCTGAGGTGAAGCTACATGGAGTATGGAACAGTCCATTTAGTTGCAGGGTGATATGGGCTTTGAAGCTAAAAGGCATCCCATATGATTACATAGAAGATCTTCCCAACAAAAAAAGTCATGAGCTCCTCAAATACAACCCAGTTCACAAGAAAATCCCAATGCTTGTTCATGGCGTGTAGCTGTACTCATTATTTATTTATTTAAATATATATAAAGAAGAACCTCTATTGATTAAAGCCACATGTCAAAAATAGGTATAGCCGCACGGCTATGCTATTTAATTAAAAAATTAATAATAAAAAAGGACCCTCCTAGTTGTATTAGTATGTACCTTATGGATATTAATTTGCAACATATCCAAAGTAGATATTAATCTTCCAATATTTGATATTTTAATATCATTTTTATACCATATGTTATTCTTATTCAATAATATGTGAGAATTATTTGTATAATACGTGAATTTTGTGTGTCTTACTGAAAATTTTGTAGAAAATACGTGTATAAAACATTAGAAATACGTACGTACATGTACAATACGACTATTGTATGTTTGCTTTTTAAAGAAAACGTGAGATGTGTATAGAACATGAATTCATTGTTGAAAAATACGTACCTACATATGTAAAATACTATAGCAACTCGTCTATACTATTTATTAAAGACAATCTAAAATAAAAACCCGTAACAACGCCCGGCTATACTATTTTTTTAAAAAAAATTAGGAGAAAAGAAGTATATCCGCGCAGCTATACTATTTTCGAAAGAACAAAATAGAGGAGTCCCATTTTGAAAAAAAATTAGTATAGCGGTGCGGCTATACATTTAAAAAACAAATTCAAAATTGAATATAGCCGGACGGCTAGACTATTTTTTTAATATAAAAATGAAGAACATTTATCGATTGCAGCCACCAGTCAAAAATACGTATAGCCGAACGGCTATACCATTTTTATAAAAAGAAAATTGTAGCATAGCCGCACGGCTATACCATTTAATTAAAGACAATTTAAAAATAAAAATAATAAATAAATAAAACCAGTAACGCCACCTAGCCATACTATTTTGAAAAAAAAAAAAAAGAGTATAGCCAGCCGGCCAGAGCAGCTCCATTGTGTGAAAATAGTAACGCCGTACGTTTTTAAAAAATTTCAAAATTGAGTATAGCCGTGCAGCTATACTATTTTTAATATAATAAAGGACCCCAACCATTAGGCGCCACGTGTCAACACATCACTTTTATAAAAAAAATAAAAACATGGTGTATAGCCGTGCGGCGGTACTCTTTTTTATTTATTTATTTAAATAATAAAGAAGAACCTCTATCGTTTAAAGCCATGTGTCAAAAATAGGTATAGCAGATCGGCTATATTGTTTTTTATTAAAAAAAAAATCGTAGCATCACCACAATGCTATACTATTGCATTAGTTTGTACTTTTTGGGTATTCATTTTCAACATATCCAAAGTAGATATTAATCTTCCATTATTTGATATTTTAATATAATTTTTATGCCATATGTTATTCTTATTCAATAATATGTGAGAATTATTTGTATAATACATGAATTTTGTGTGTTTTACTAAAATATTTGTAGAAATTACGTGTATAAAACATTAGAAATACGTACGTACATATACAATACGACTATTGTATGTTTGCTTTTTAAAGAAAACGTGAGACGTGTATAGAACATGAATCTATTGTTGAAAAATACGTATATACATATGCATACATATGTTAAAGACTATAGCCACTCGTCTATACTATTTATTAAAGACAAATTTTTTAAATAAATAAAAAAAACCAATAACGCCGCCCGGCTATACTATTTTTAAAAAAAATTAGGAAAAAAATGTATAGCCGACCGGCTATACTATTTTCTAAAGAGAATACAACTGTGTGAAAATAGTATAGCCGCGCGTCTATACGTTTTTAAAAAAAGGCTACATTAGTTTTTCAACATTTATGACCTTTTACTTTTTTCGGAACAAAAATACTAGTCAAACATTGTAGTCTAGATCTTTACTAATTGATATATAGGTTCTAGGAACATCTCTAGTCTTTCCACTGCCTTTGTCGCCTATCGATTGCTTACTTTTGGTTGATTGTTACTCTGGAGCACCTAAACATGTCCGAGCAATTACACCCACATGTTCTCACACAGATATTTGAGTTAATTAGGTGTTAAACACCCTTTGGGAATTAGATTTGGATCCTTATCTATCTACTAATCCAATCTCCTCCTAATCACTGAAAGCAAACCTATCCATAACTAAATCCTATAGGTCAGTTTTTTTATAATAAGATTTGAGTCATTGCACTTCAGCTAATAAAAATTAAATTTCTATATCCATAAGGCCACTATGTTCAAACTCAAAAGTCATACACTAATGACAGAGACATTAAGAAAAGGAAAATGGTTAAAATTAGTTAGATAAACCTTCATGATTTCAAAGTAGCTATTTGAATTCAACCCCTTTATAGTATTTTTTTTTTTTCTTTTTCAGTCAAACAAATTCTTTATAGTTTGTTTAATCCAATTTGTAAAGCGTACTGCCCAAGCCATTGAACCTACTTGTCATTTTTTTTATGCTCTTATGTTTTTTCTTTTGCTAAAACATATCCATATATAAAA